TAGCTGCATTGATTTTGATGGCACCTGTCCTCTTCAAATAACTTCTGCATTTCTGCTGCTGTCTGTTGGCCTGTGTTTGTTACTGTCATTCTCAGTTTCTTCTTTTGTACTGGTCATAATCTCAGTGTACTTCTGTGAGGCACATTTCTTTTTGCTTTGTATCGTGAATATCTCCTGCAGGATCATTACATTTTCTGAAATCTCATCTCTTCTTCTTCTTCTTCCAGTCCTCCTTTAATGTTTGCATTAAATTAGCTAAGAAAGTAATTTATAGTTCTTTTTTTTTTCCAGCTTCAAATAAGCTAGGTGGCTTTTTTAAAAAATTATTATTATTATCATGCTGTTTTCCTTCTCAGTCACAGCAGTACTGAAAATTGTTTATTTGTATGTAAGTGGCACTTAGGAATCCATGCCCTGTTGTGCTTGGTGTGTTTGCTCTGGTTCTTGTGCATCTTTTGCTTTTCCTCATCTGTAACCAGTGCACAGCCTGCCCAGGCAGGTGATCTTACCTTCCCTGTAGAAGCAACCTGGCTGAATCAGTACCAAACCAGTTCAGTGCAGCAGTGTGTGGGGAATCTTGTGCAGGTGTTGTCCATATGTGCTGGGTACATGCCTGGAAATGAGAAGGCTGATGGTAAGTTTTTTCATCTGTCAGCATATCATTTTTCACAAGGAGTGGAATTTTTTTGAAGGCTTAGGGGAAGGACGAATTCTGTTCAAGGTTCTTTCATTTTATTACTGTAAGATTTATGGCATTGCCAAGCCCCTTCTTTGGACTGATACCAGACTTGCCATCCCTCATCCATTTGGAGTGCAGAGCTCTCTTCCTTTATTTTTCCAGCTTTCATTCCAAAGATGGAAAAAAATCAGCATTTGAACTCTTTTTTGAAGGGATTAGTTTGTGCAGTCCTTATTTCTAAATTAGAAAGTAAGGAATGCTTTAAGGGAACTTTGAGATTTTCATAGTTTTATTTTACATCCCACAATAGGGTTTTCAGTTTTAGAGCACTAACTTATTTCTCCTTGCATTTAACCCACTCCCTGCCCTGTTGAAGTTGCTTTCTCTGCCTCAGTTCCCTTCCCCTCTAGACTTGAAGCTGTTACCTTTTGGCTTGGATCCACCCATGCTGACACTGAAATGAGGGCCTCATTGAAGTAAGCATTCCAGGAACAGTTTATCCTTTGCTAGTTGATAGAGATTTTTAAATGCAGAGTTGCTTCTTTGGCTTTTCTTTCTTTGAGCACTGAGCTGGGGCCAAGTGTGTTCCCAGGCACTCTGGAATTCCTCAGCAGTTCCCTTTTTCCTGACTGCCTGTTCCCAAAGGCTGGATGGGGAGAGACGCTGTCATGTGCCCTGGCTCTTGAGCCCTGTGCCTCAGTACCAGGAGGAGTTGGCTGCCAAGATCTCTCCAAGTCTGACCTTTTCTTGGAGCATGGTTATTTCAGCATGCTTTGCTCTTTATCTTGAATCACAGAATACCAGGTTCTCCGTGAACAAAACCAATTTTTCCTAATTTACATGTGTCTTTCAGAATGTCCCTTCCTAAAGAACAGAGGGAATCCATTCTTGTATTGTGCATTCCACCCTGCATATTTTGTTGCAAATGCCTAATTAAGTATGTTAAGTGCTAGTTCTCAGTAATTGATAGCACTGAACCACTCATTGCATATCTAGGGGAAAACAATAGACACAACTTTATAACAAGCTGATCATAGCCACCTAGGGGAAGGTGTAATTTTTAACTTCTAGCAAGGTTTAAATGACTGGGAACAAAGTCCAGACAAATTCTTTAGGTTGTTACAAAATGAGGCTCTGAGTTGCAATGCTTTTAGGCTGCCCTTCTCTCTCGTATGTAGCCTCAGGCACTGAATTGGAGCTTGTACATATATTTGGTTCCTATCCTGGTTTTCTTCTGGCTCAAAATCACGTGTGTTGTTTTTTGCTGGATTGTTGTTTTGTACCTGTCTTTTGTTTGCTGCCACAACAAGAGACAGAAAATCCTAAGGAGAGCTGCTATAAATGCATATTCATGTTTCTTCTACCCTTCCCCCAGTCTCCACTCTCTCCCTCCCACCCCTTCCCAAATTCCATTAATATTTACAGAACAAGAGCCAGAACTCCAGCATTAATCTCAAATTCAGAGTGAGATTTTTCTGGCTCTATCTGCAGCTAATGCAGAAGACAACAGAGGTTAGAAATGCACTTTAAAAAAAAGAAAAAGAACAAAAGGCCTTTTCATATTCAACACACTGGATGGATTGTGTTAGGTAAAAATAAGCTTTCAAAGGCCAGAGCATATGTAAAAAAATATTACATGTATTGTTGTTGGAAGGCAGAGGAACATTTATTTGCTTACTGAATGCGTTGAAAGTTCCTGAGCTTTAACTTATATAAACTCATTGTTTCTTCAAATTTTGTGTGTGGAGAAAACAGTTCCTTTGTTCGTCCTACTGGTTCTTGTACAGATAAGCAGTAAAACCAAAAAGTCAAATGAACAGAAAGAGAACTGTGTTGATAGTTACATGCCAGCAATGTACAAACTAAGCATTTGTAAGGAGATGTCTAAACAAACTTCAAAACCAGTGAAGTTTTGCAAACATAAAGTTCATAAACAAACTGAAATTGAGTGGAGTGAAGAGAATGAAGAATTCAGATAATTTGCATTCGTTCTCTTTGACCCCTAACTAAATATTTTCTTTCATTTTCATTGTTAAGTGCATAGAATGTGTTACTAACCATTTTGAATTGACTTTAAAAGCCAAAATCAAAGATAAATATTACTGTTCTTCTAAATTGTTTTTGTTTCAATGTTGGTTTATTCATTGGAAAGTATTTGCTGACTTCTGTAGTCTGCACAGGCACTTACTCCTCTGTGACTCCTGTCCTTGATTGTTTCAAGAGTCACTTTTCCCTGCCATGGGGAGGATACCTTGTGTCCCTGACAGTTGCTGTGTGCTTCTGGCTTCTGGTGACCTCAGTGAGTTGTCAGCAGACAAATTTTGTTAACTGTGTCAAGTAAGGGATTGTGTCCATCTGGTTGTGAGGCCAAGGGTTATTTCAGAGGACAGAAGCTGATCTGAATTCTTTAAATGAAGAAGGAGGTCATCTGCATGTGCTATGGAAGATGGTAAAGCAGTCTGGAGAAGCTGGCTCTGCAGTATCCATGTGCTGTTCTTCCTCCAAGGAATTGAGAGACATATTTTAGCAAAGGATTCCTCAATCTATCCAATACCCCAAAATACATAAACACAGAAAATGTTGGTGGTTTTCTTTTTTTGCCCTTTTCAATATGGATTCATTTATTCTTAAATTCCAAGATAATACCAATACCCATCAGTCTATCCTTTAGTCTGGAAGTTTGTACTATTTGTTTTTTTGGGAAGGGCTCCCATATTTTCTTCTCATCTCTCTGGCATTAGAATTGGCTTATCTCACTTTTCTGATGAACCTACATTTTCCAGATAAATGAAAACATAGGGGTTTATTTTTCAGAAGTGAAACAGTTGGATTGCCTTTTTGTTTCACTGGGATAAGCATCCACGATGCTCTGGGGAATGGAGAATGATCTAAAATAAGCCTAGCTGTTTTTTGTTGTTTATCTGTTTCTTTTTGCATCTGTCTTAGTATTTATTGCTACCATCTGCGTTTCATTTCAGGTTGTCTAATGTCTCATTCTGCATGTTCTTTGCCTATTCTTTTTACATAGCCTTGGGCTGTAATATCACCATTTGCCTACAAGAGATCCATTTCTATCTGTAACAAAATGAATTGCATTCATCTGTGTAATTCATTTCTAATGAATGCCTTGCTCCTCATTAAACAGTGATTTACCTTTGTTTCCCTTTCCTACACTGTCAACACGAACCATTTTGAGGTCCTGTGGAGAGATGCTAATTTGAGAAAGCAAAAGTCAATGCAACTAAGCACTCATAGGGGCCATCCTCCTTGGCACTTTCAAAAATATTCATGGGACATGTTGCAGAATAAAATTTGCAGGTGGATAAGAAGACTCAAAATATTTTCCTGTTCATAAGCTCTCAGTGTACGAAGGCAATGCTTGACAGTTTAAATGCAGTTCTCCTTGACACTGCCAGGAGCAAATGAATCTTCTCAGACTTGTCTGTTCTGCAAGAATTTTACCTATCACAGGCACATTTTGGGAGACTGTATTCTTGGTTCACTGTCCCCTCTCTACCTTTTCAGGAATATTAAAATATTTTGAATGTATTTTCAGATTAATATTTTTAAATACCTAATTTTGAGGTACATCAAAATGTTACAGACTTGAAAATACTTTATTTCAAATTTTTAATGAGATGCAAAGATTCATGTAAATATTTATTGCCTTTGCCAATAGTATCTAAAGGAAAAGGATGAAATCCATTAATTAATGAAATAGGGTTGTGGAGTAATTTTGTTACAGATTTGGTTCTTATGCAACTTTTGTGTAATGCACTTTGAAGCTCTCCAGCAACATTCCCTTTTCCAGCCCTGCACTTTGCAGAACAGCAGAATCTGCCATGTGTGCAAATAGATCTGTGCTGCTGACAGATGATGGTTAGAGTATGGGATGAATTACCAAGTTTATTTTCACTTTAACCCTAAGCAGATTTTGAACTGCAGCAATGGATTATGAATATGAAAGTACCATTGGTAAACATAATTTAGAGCAATGCAGGAGGTTTTATTTACAGCCTCTTCAGCTCTTACTTTGGTGATAGTACAAGCCACTCAGCAACACTTTTGATCACTTGAATTTAGCTTGGCATTTTTCTGTATTTATTTGTGTGTTGGGCCAGCCTGATCCCCAGTTGAAACTCTAGAATTGCCAGTGGGCATCAGTGGATTTACACCATGGACTAATTTGATCATGGTATTATGAGGGGATTGGAGTATGGGAGGTTGGGTTTTTGTAACTGGTCTTGCCTAAGTCTTGTAGTATTTGGAAGTAAGAACACTGATTAATATAACAAAACCTTATTTTTAATATACATTTTAGAGGACAAAACTGACCTTGAGAACAGTGTGATGCAGAAGAAAATTAAAATCCCCAAACTCTCTCTCAATCACATAGAAGAAGCTGGGGAAGTTACAGATTATGGGGAAGAAGATGTGGAGCTTAGACACAGTAAGGTACTGAAGTCTTTCTGGTTTTTTTTCACTCCTCTCCTTTTTTTATCTTTTTTTGTAAGTGCTTGGGGCATATATGAACATCCTAGCTTAAGAATTCCAGGCTTGCTTTTGATCCCCTTAAAACAGTGTGTTTGGTGAAATTGGGTCACATTGTGTGTGGAGGTGGGGTATGGGTTTTCAAAACCTGATTTAAGTGCAATCAGACGTTTTCCTGTGTATACTGTCTGCACAGTGTAAGTGCCACCTGGGACTGATGCAACAATGCTCTTCCACTTTGGCTCAAAATGCCTTAAAAGTGACCAGTACCCAGCTGTACCAGCTGTTCTTGGTGGCAGTGGGGACAGATTGCTCACTGCTTGTTTGGAATTGGGAAGGGTGCTCCGAGACTGCCCAACTACAGTGATTGAGAAGAAGAATTGACAGGACTGTATCCCTCCATACTAACTCCCAGTTGCCTTTTTAGGTTCAAATGCCAGAAACCCACTATGGAAATGTATTTATTTTTTAATATCAAATCATTTCTTTAAAAGTCTGCCAACCTTCAGAATAAGATACTGCTTGATGGTTTCATGTGTTTTGCAGCTGCAAGAGTGATATTAGTATATTTCCTTGTGGTGGGCCAGGTTTTTTTTAATTGTTAATTTTTTTTAGAAAATGAATGCTGCAGGTGTAACATCAAATAATTTTGTTTTCTACCACGTTACTTATGGATAGTGTGGTATGGGAATTTGATAGTGTCAGTTTCTCACCTCTACTCTGTGAGCTGCATTTACTTTCCTTGCAGTTGCTTGGAAATTCAAATGCCTTTTCTTATTTGGCCAGCAAAACTTAGTGACTTTACATATTAGTGTACTGTCACATATTAATCCCACTATCCAGGCCCCAGGAAAGTGGTGTGATTTAATTTGTAGAGTTTGTGCAGATGACTGAAGGTAAAATTCCACTGAGAGTTCCCAGGTCCTGAAGCCTCTGCAATGCAGTACTAATATAGAAGGAATCAGTTGATAAGGAAGATGAAGCTGGATGATATATTCTGTCTCCAGCTTCAGTGTTTTCAAATCCCTTTCAGTGTTTGCTGATAATGTTAACTCAGTCACTCGCATCAGGCAGTTGGATGAACGTGCTATAGGGATACTCAGTGAAGGTTTTGTCTCTCAAAGTGTGGGAAGGACAAGCCCTGAGCTCACAGAACAGCTTTGTGCCTGTGCTGCTTTTACCTCTGATGTCGTCACAGGTGACAAATGGAGAACACAGTTCGTTCTTTCTCTTGCTTATCAGAAAATCAATTGCTGTCAGAAATCTGAATGTTAAGGGTAAACTTTAAAGAAAAAGAGATCTAGATCAACTTTTTCAAAAAGAAATTAATGATACGGAATCAAGTGACCTGTATACACTGCCTGTATACACTTTGTAAGTGTTGCACAAATGTGGGAAGGCCTTTAACTGCCTCAGAAGTTTGTACATGCATGTAGCTGAGTTACAGCTGCATGTTAGTTGTGCTGCATATTAGATCCATAAGAACCTGTTAGGCAAAATATTTTTGCAGACTGGCTTTGTCTTAGTCTTTTGGAAGACAAGAATATTACCAGTTCCCAAGACTCTCCTAATTTATTTGTTTTCTATTGTAACGTGCAGAGACAAGATGGGAGGAAACAAAGTGAAGGTACACACAAAAGCATTGAAGCAGTTGTTGCTCGCCTTGAGAAACAGAACGGGATGAGTCTCAGTAATACTTCCAGCCCTGAGGAGGCTTTTATGGAGGCTACAGAAGGCATGAACAATATGGACGATGCTGTAGTTCCTCGGATTCTCTATGAGGAATTGCTGAGGAGTTACCAGCAGCAACAGGAAGAGATGAGACACATTCAACAGGAGCTTGAGAGAACGCGGAGACAGCTTGTGCAACAGGCAAAGAAGCTAAAGGAGTATGGGGCACTCGTGTCAGAAATGAAAGAGCTCAGAGACTTGAACAGGAGGCTCCAGGATGTACTGCTCCTAAGACTAGGTAGTGGTAAGTGCCGGACTTAAGTGGGACTAGTTTGAATGAATTTTGCAGGTGTGATCAATAGTCATGGAAATGTATTTGAAGAATAGCAGTGGTTGTTAAACTGGACATTGAATGTTAAAAAGGTTTTCTGCTGTGGCTGTACAATATGTGTCGAATTTGTATGCTATGTACGTCTGCGGCTTTCTTTAAAAACTAGAGGTCTTTGTGCTGGTATGGCTGAATCAGAGTTCCATTTTAAGCAGCTGTATTATAAAGAGTCTCTGACCTTCCAATATATGCTGAAAAAGTTAATAAAGCATCATCTGCAAAATATACCAATATGTTCCAGTTTAAAAAAAAAAAAAGTAAAGAAAAGACGCTGGAATGAATAGTTGGGCTAAAACTAATTTATCCTTTGCAGTTAGGGATTTTGTTTGTTGTTATGTGACTGTTACCTTCCATTTTCTGACCCCTCTTCCCTTTAGCAGCTTATTAGAATGTGATATATTCCTGAAGTTTTAGCAGTGGCTTTAAACAGCCATGCTATTTGAAAAACAATGGATTGTTAAAAGCATAATTAAAAAGGCTTTATATTAGTGTCCCGTTTATCAACACTTGTTGCAAAATGCAGGTTTTTGTAATTTGGATTTCAGTTTTTAAATATCTTGGGTCAATTGCTCCTTTGTTTGGGTTTATAACAATCATTTAAGCATTATGTTGGAATAAATGGGAAAAAAGACAAAATAAAAAGTTCATCCTTTTCATTGAAGATGGTACCCTTGGAATACCTTCAAAAATTGGACTAATTACATTTATTTGCAATTAGAATGTGGTACTGCTGTGTTGAAGATTTGCTCGGTGACTGAAACTTGGTTGAAATCTATGCATCCAAACTTAGCATGCCGTTCTTATGTCTGCCTTTGTGTATCTGGAAACTTAATTTCTGCATGTGAGTTGGATATTGGCTCTTCTCCTGGACTGGAAGGAGTGCATGCAATTTGCATGTGGGTCTGAGTCCTCACGTACAGAGCTGGATCTGGGAGAGCATGTGCCTGTGCTGTAGCATGTGTTCAGGTGTGCCCACACCCTTGGAGCCAGGTTCTTGGAGCGTCCCACAACCTAAACTGGGTGTCTGATTGTGAATGCTCATCATTGTTACACTGTGCACAATTAAAATGTCGTTACTCACCATAAACATTCTAGTTAACTTTCTAAATAAAACTAAATAGGCAAGGTTGCCGCAGCCTGAAAAAGACGATGTGGTTGGCAGGAGATTCCACTGAGCTTTCTAAAATTTTCCTTGGATGGAAAGATGTTTCTTCATCTGCAAGTAGTTAGCTGGAATTTATGGGAATGGAGCACGAGCCAGATGTTGGTAGGCAATGGGGCTGAACAGTGTAAAGTACCAATTTAGTTGGTAGACTTGACAGCAGTTGGAGTGGTGAGACCGGCAGTGAAATGAAGACAGCTACTGAATTCTATCTCTTTTCTTTCACTTTAAGAAAAAGAAGATGCATTTTTTTGCTTCAGCCAAATAAAGAAACCTTAGGAGAAAAAGAGAAAAAAGGGGAAAAAAAAAAGAAAGAGGAAAAGGAACCCTGGGAAAAAAAATACTGAATCGTCTCTAAATATTGGGCATGCATTTCTATTGTATGTATCAGTGTGACAACTGAAAACAAATCCCAATTACGTTGAAGACGAGTTCTTTAAATTTAATCACATACCTGGAAAAATATCAGCTATACGACACTTCCAAAAAAAATTCCTTGTTAATATTACTTGTAAGGAACATTGGATGGTAAAGGTGGAATTTGGCCGTGCTGGCTTTGTCCTTCACAGGGTTTGAATTTCGTAAGACTCAGTGTATTAACTGTTGCTTACTCTGTTGTTTTTCCTTTTAGCCTCATTCACAGCAGAGAAACAACCATGTTCTAGAAAGATCAATACAAAACTTATGAATAATTAGCAAGGGAGACATCTTCAGCATGTTCTAAATTAGAGAGTCTGATGACAGTATGAAAAAGTACTACTTTTAATCAAGAATAGATACATAAAGACTTTTTTAGTCTTCCTTACTTTTCCAGCTTATAAATGAGGTATGTTTGGGTATGTGAATAATCTCTGAAAATTGTTCTGAAAATAAATTACATCCTGAATTCATCTGCAGTTGCAGTGATCTCTTAAACCTAGAGTTTCAAATTACATGTAATTTATGTTACACTGCACTTCTAGCAGGCTGGACTTAATGCAAACTAATTGCATTTCTGTTTCACCTTAGAGACTTGTGATTTCTTTGCATGAGATGACAGCTGGTTTGTGCTGATGAATTGCAGCTGTGGGAAATGCTTGCCTGTTGCCATTTTAAACTTGCAGATCAAATATAGAACAGTCTCTTGAGCTAACGTGCAGTCAAGTAGTCAGTCTCCTAATTTCCCATCAACGTGTTGAATTCAGTGAGGAGCTGGAAGTCAATGCATTGTACTTGAGACTTAGGCCTTCAGCTCTGCTGCTAAACTGGAGCCACTTTTGTGGCAGGAGTGAGGAGGTTCACCTTCCTCATGGTGACACCAAATTGTTCTTTGTCACAAAAGAGCCTTGGAGGCAGCTGTGGCAAGCTACAGCAGTGAAATCAGTACTGATCCATGGAGAAATGCTTAATATCATCTTTATGATTTTAGTATATTATTTCCAGGCACATCCCTTCACGGAGGAGGCAGGCATTTCACCAGGGCTGTAGGGACCAGAGCAGTGGAAAAATGGGATGACTGTTGTGGAAAAGGTTATGGTGTCCCTCTTGAGCTCCTGGAATAATGTGTGCAGCCTCTTGCATTGCCCATGTAGGGAGCTGGAAGCCCTGCAGGTGTAGGCCTTTGCAGTTTGTTTTCTTACACCTGAAAACACACCTAATTTGCCCTCTTTTTGTCAGTAGAGAGTAAGATAATTTAAAGAATTAAATAATTGACTCTCCCCTGTAGGGACTTTAAATAGCCCTTGGATTGCAAAAGAAGAATTTCAATAACTTCCTAAAAAAAATAGCTTTCTCCTGGGCAAGATCTGTGCCATTTCCTGTAGCTGGAAATATGGTCAGAAGTACTGAAGTTCTATAGGGATAATGCTTGGGTGTTTTTAGCTCCATGATAATTTCTTCAGTTTCATGTTAGATTTCTGAGAATTAGTGTTGCTCCAAAGTCAGGTGGTATATTCACATTCATTCAGAAACATTGATTCATCAGCGTGTGCACACAGACCCCCAAGGTTTTAATTTAATCCCAGTTTAATTTCAGTGATCCAGTTTACAGTGTCTTGGGACTGACACCAGAGTAGGGAGAATGAAATGGGATTTGTGTCTTACCACATGTCAGGTATTAGTGTTTTTCAGCTTTTCTACATTTGTTTGGCTTTTTGATGTTAAAAGAAAAAAAAAGGCCCAAGGTTTCTTTCAAGTACAGAAAGTACCTATTTTACCACTTCTCAGACTTGTGTTGTTTTGCTTCAAATTCTAGCAGACCATGTGCAAAAACTTTCTGCTTACAAATGTATGCTGACCACTTTATCAGTCAATTTGTTTTTATTTTCTTCCTAATTTCAGGAGTAGCATGTAGCCTAAGATGCATTTTTGAGGAAAAGGGATGGTAAAGGGAAGCCTTCTACCTCTTCATCCTGATTTGAGTTTGCTGGCCTCTTGGATATTCTAAAAAAAACAGCAGTCAGGAGAAAGATTTTGCAATAAAACGTTTGTTTCCTTCTTGCATTCGTCTTTTTTTGTTTTTCCCTGATCCTTATTATGTAAGTGCTGTCATTGTTAAGCCTTTAGATGGAGGTATATATTTTTGTGTGTCCCATTCATCATCTTTAAAATAAGATGCAGAGAGGGGGAGCTTGGAGTGTGGTGAATGGGGCACACCACTCTGGCAGGCAGGCAGGAGTGCAAGCTGCAGGTGCAATTCCCAGCCTGCAGGGCTGAAAATGCAGAGTTTAGTGGTTGTGGAAGTGGCTGTGGAGACTGCCTGGTTAGAGGCAGGTTTCTGTTTGGGAATCAAAAATCAGGATATAAAAAAGAGATTTTAAAGGCTTTCTTTTGGTGACTTCTAAGCAAGTGGTTAAAGCATGAATTGGAGCGGAGGTAATTCTGACCTGTGAGAGCTGTGGTTGTTGTGGACTTTAATCAGCTTTTTCCTTGGGGAAGCTCTGGAAACCAAATTCCAGCTGTGTCAATATATGGCTAAAAACAGTAAAAGACTTCTAAATAGGGAGTAGTAAAAGTGTTTAAAGGGAAAGAAATGTTTCCTGCAAGGAAGAAGGTGGTTATACTTAGGTGTCTCTGTCAAAGTGACTTTTAAAGTATAAGAAAATAGCCCTTTGTTGAAGAATGTGAAGTAACAGCTTCAGAGATGACTTCTTAAGGTCACACTGGCAATTACATCCCTGCACCTGCTTGTTCAGCTGTGCCCATGCTGAGGGCAGGCTTTGGGTGCTTTAACCAGTCCAGGTCTTCCCCCAGTCTCAATCAGCTTTACAGTCTCAAGTTTAGGAAGTTCAGTTTGTCTTGGCTGTACTGTTGTATATTCATGGTACTAGAGGTGCTTACTAAGATCACTATGAAATTATAATGCAAATGGGATGTTGTGTGATTTCTCTGTTTGTGCCATGCTTGCACTGGGGCTGGCTCTTAAGCCCCTCTTGTTGGTGGCACTGCAGCGTAGGATTGTCTGAGTTGCCAAGACAACTTTTAGTCATTGGTGAGCGTGGAGTGGCAGCCAGCTGAGAACATTGAGCTGGCTCTGTAGGTGTAGGATAAGCTATAGGATAAATGTCAAATGCTGACAACGGAGGAAGCACTGCTATTGCTGTATAATAATCTCTAAATGAAACTGCACAAAGTAGGAGGGATGAATGCTGTGCTTGTTCCAGGCACAGGAACTATTTAAGATGCGTGACTAAGACCTGAGCTGTGGTGCCAGCGTGACTTGCAGAGTTGGATCAGCTCAGGGCTGGGTCTGTGTGCACAAACACTGAGCAGGGAGCTGAGGGGTGACCTGATGATCGATGGCTGAAGATGTCAGGGTTGGGCTGCAGAGTGCTGCAGTGCTCTCAGCACCAGCCTGGGACAATCTAGCACTGACAAGTGGGTGAGTTTATCCTTAGAGTTCTGGACGTGGGGTATTTCCATGGTGTCCAGAGTCTAACTTTGCTGTGCTGTGGAGCCACTGGCCCTGCATGGAACTTCAGTGCCTGCTGGAGCTTCTTGGGATCCTAGAGCCACACATCAAGGGACACTGATGGGCTTGGGGCCATAGCCTAGACTCCTGGTGGAACCCCTGCAATGAATGGAGTCAGGAAATCCAGTTCACAAATCACTTTTAGTTTGTTCTTCTGTCCTTTTAGGAACATTTTATATCTTCGATCTGGAAAAGAAAAGTTGATGACTAACAAAATAACTAATCCACTTTTAAGTCTCAAACATATGCTTAGTAGTATTCCGTTGTTTAATTTGTGCATTATTTTTGTTGATTAAAAGTAAGAATCAGTGTTGGATGAATTGGACAATCAAAATTCTAATTTATGTGGGGTTTTTTAACCTTTGATATTCTTTCTGTGCATGATACTTCAGCATAAGGAGCCTGAGTCTGTTTCCTTCATAGCATTTCTGCAGATCCTCCCTATTTTTATAACACCTCTGTTATATCTAAAGAGATTTTGGATTTCTATAATATTTGTAATTCTGTGTGGATAATTTATGTAATTATCACAGTAAATTATGCAGGTTCCTATGCAACTATATGGCAATTCTTATTTGAAGAATTACTATTGTTGCTTTTGCTTTATAATTTCAGTGTCATTTTAACATAAATTCCTTAGTGTGAAGAAATCTTACCCATATCTGTAATTGTCCTTATGCTTTAGGAATAAAATTTAACACTTAAATTAAAATTAAGCATTTTAATGTTTATAAAGCAGGAATACTTATCCTGCTTTTAGTTACTGATGTTCAGAAGTAGGATTTTGGTTTAGATTACTTCTAACATTAAAATGAACATGACTAATATGTTATTTTATGCTAATCATGGGTGATGAAGGGATTGATTTCATGTTCTCTGGGATAGCAGACAGCTCTCTTTTCTTAACTGTCTAGGACCTGCCATTGAGGTTGAAAAAGTAAAACCTGAATCAATTGAGCCCGAGCCTGAGGTACAGAAGACCTTCAGTGAGGAAGCAAATACATCAACGTACTACCCTGCCCCTGTTCCAGTAATGGACAAGTATATTCTCGAGAATGGAAAGGTATTTTATATTAAATATAGCATGAGTCATTTTTAAATGTCCATCTGGTGATGTTCGTGTGGAATTTTCATTGATCGTGGGGGTGTTGCATGGTAGTGGCTTGTAGAAGCTTCCTCAGTTTTCATGAAGGTGTGCTGTTATGCTGAGGAGAATTGTGAAGTTACACAGATATGAAGAGCATAGAAAAATATTCTCAGTGGTGAGAGCATTGAATGATGTGCAACATGAGGAATATAGATATTAAATAAATATTCATGCACAGTCAAATTGACATAGTATTCAGTTGGTGGCATCCATAAATACACCAAATATTGACCAAAGTCAGTAACCCACGTTATAAAGTTACATGAACCAAAATACTTTTCCTAAAGGGTTTTTAATGTTTATAATATGCTGTAGTCATATTGCAGAGAAGCCCTCATGTTTAGGTTGGAGTGCAGGAGGTAGTTATGAACCCTGGAAGGAAAATGGGCTCCCTTGCTGCTGGTAGGGTAGGAGCATTGCCACTGAATTGAGCTGATGTAGTGCTACTTTCCAGAGACTCTGTGAAGTTGCTGAAATACCATCTCCTCTAGTTTGCCAGGACCTGACTGAGGGCCTTTCAGACTTCAGCCTGTTTAACACATTAACTGCTCATCTACCTAGGCCTGCTTTTACAGCTGTTTTCATTATCATTAAATAAGTGTGATGTTTCTTATACAAAACTGTAATTCCTTCAGAATTGCCTCTGCAGATCCTGTTTCTTGCTGTACAGAGATGCATTTGGTACCCTAATCTGAGAATCTTTAGGGAGGAGCCATTTATTCCAGCTTTGCTGTGCAGTGGAATTACTGAAGGAATATAGCATGAAACTGCGTTTTCAGATTGGTGTTCAAAGATTGACTGCACAATGTCTGTCCCTCTTGAGGAGGAATTCAACATAATCACTGGGGACAGAATGTACGTGAAAAATAGTAGAATCTTGACAGTTTGACAGGTATTTGGTTCAGATGGCTTTTCTTGCCTAATATATTTAAATATGTCATTTCCTTGATTATTTTGTGTAAATTTGTGCGATGAGTACTTAGGGTGTATTACTGTGCGAGTTTCCTCTACCTCCTTCTCTTCCACTTAAGGTCTGTGGGATAGGGCACATCCTTTAGTATTTGTATGCAGCTTTTCCTGCACCCTTTTTTCATCTGTCAGCTTCTTGGCACTTCTTTTGCTGAAGTTTTCTGTCTTTACAGATATTAGTATCTCTTTAATTTTCTTTTTGTAATTTTGCTTCTTGGTTTGCCTATTTAATAGGTCTACAGCCAGCTCAGATGCCAAAAATGTGAACTAATAATGTATTTGGAGTGTTGGAGGGTAGTTTTCTTCAGTTTTCCTTGTTTATGGCTTTATTTCAGTATTCCTTTATTGATATGCACCACTAGAGTAGTTGAAGTACTTTTTTTCCAAATCTTACCCTTTGTGGCACCAGATTTGATCTTAGTAGGATTCTTTCAGAACAGATAAATCTCTTCCCTCCAGAGGGAAAACGGAGTCACTGAAAAAGAGCCTATGACATTCATTTAAAGAAAAGAAAGAAGAAGAAAGAAAGGAAAAAAAAAGGGTTCATCTTCTGAGACACGTTTTAGATCTGTTGCAGATGTTAGCACAGGCACGCTGGTGAGCGTCGCTTTGAATTCGCTGCCGTCTCTGTTGCGTTGTGCTTGAAGGTTGATCCCACAGTTGCTGAAATTGGGAGTAAATTTCCCATTGATTTCATCAAGACAAGAGTCTGGCTCATGGGGCAGCTCTTCCAGCAAGAGGGGAATGTCTTAATGTGGAGTTCACTAAGCTTCCCAGAGCTTTGGGGCTGATAGGAAACAGTAGGGCCTGTTGCAGAGAGGTAAACTGAGACACAGGCAGATTGAATTCCTCACCCTAACAGTGCTAGAAATAGAAAATGGAGATGTAAGATTGCTGTGGCTGTGGCTGTCTGTCACATAGTTGTTGTTGCCATAGGTGTTTCATACCAGCAAATGCTGTTTTAATAAATGAAGCATGTTAAAAGAAGAGATGATGTCTGAAGCATAAATATTAAAAATACTTCCTGTAACTTGTTCTTTTCTTTTGAGTAACTTCAAGCTAATGAATAATGTAGTAGCTTTAGAGACTAAATAATCTTTGGCAAAGGCAAACCCTAATTTTGGCAGAGAAGAATTGGATTTTTGATGAAATACAGCGATCCCTACCACTAATGTAATACAAACACCCAAAATTTGCTATGCCACAACATTTCTAATCTTAGTTATTTTCTAGGTAACTTTCCGACATTTTCCTGAAGAAGTTTTCCAGGATCTAACCAGAAATAACTGAATTAAAAAATGAAATTATTTTTTGAGCACAGACTGCTCACTGCTCATTGAAGTTGCCTAACAAAATATGTAGAGAGCACCAAAAAGAGTGTGCCTTTTTAAAAATCATTTATGAAGAGGCTCAACAACAGAGAAAAAGGAAAAAAAAAAGAGGGTGTTTGTGTTGCGGTTGTTACTAGTTTAATTTCTGTCCATGCAGACTTGTGAAAAGCTTCCTAGAATCCCTTTAGTGTAGGAGATTCTGCAGGAGAGGCAGCTTGCTGCATGGTTTTATGCTTTAAGGAAGGTAGAGTTTTCTTTTTTTTTTAATATAACATAGCTTGTAGTCAAACCAGTCATATTACTCTATTTAAGTTTTTAAACATCTAGTTGCTTTTGAAGGATGCCGTTGTAACAAGAAATTTCTTGGGGTTATAGTCCTCATTAATAATTAAAGCAGGTTTCCATTTACAGGAAAAAGGGTATTCAGTTGAATACAGGCAATAAAATGTTGGGTATATAAAATTTTACAGTAGCTTTGTCCAATTTTCATTGCATTTAATGGGACTTCTGTGATACTGCTCGGATTTGTGTGGGTAGCAGGCACAGTTTATGTAAAGCCATATGAAATGAGTAAAACCACAGAAAACTAACAGCAGAGCAGTTAAGACAAACAGTCTTCTAATGCAGTTTTGCTGTAGGATTTTGTTGATAGCATTTTTTTTAATCATAAGGTCAAAAGTTAGTTTTAAGCGTTAATGTCGCAGAAAGAACCCCCATTGGACCAGAGCTAATCAAAGGTAGATTTTGGCTATGTAGCAATCCAATTGTTTGGTATGTTGCACTCGTCCACATTGTCTGAAGGTGAGTGCAGTGAGCTCTGATCAGCAGCTGGGAGCTGTAGGTCACACCTTAGCTTGTTATGACAAGAGCAAGTGTGTGTCCCAGTGAGTAAAGTCCATCACCACATGAACAAAGCTCTGTGTGCAGAGGTAGTTGAGGAGTCTGCACTGTACTCCAGGAGCTGGAGCATGGACAGACAGGGTGCAAAGTGTTTGTGGTTCCGTGCAGGGCCAGCGTGTGTGTCCTGGTTGCACTTGTGTCAGGTTTGTGCTGGTTACTCATGGAGTTACCTCTGTGCTGGTGCTGGAAGGTGTCCTGAGGGTCAGGGCTGTCAGCTCAAACACGTAGTGGCAGTCTAAGGATGGTGCTTGGATTCTTGTATGGCATTTGTCCTAAGACTGGAGCACTGAGAATCTTGGGTTGGAGACATAGGGTAGCCCTGTGGGAGACAACCGAGCACAGTCTGTGCTGAGTAAGGCTAATAAGCAAACTTGAGCATCTTCCTTATGGAGACTCTCCAGTGGCTTCACACTGTGTTTTCCAGTACCCATATTATCCTGCTTTACTACTTCAGTGAAATACCTCGACTTCCCATTGTTCAGATAATGGAAAGTTTATGATGTTGCTGCAATGGGTCATTGCCTAACCACAAAACAGTATTCATGTGGTGCATTTACATTGATCGTGCATGATAGACACACTTTGTGTTAGAACTGGAAGTTTTACAAAGCTTCCCAACTCTCCTGGCTTATATTGAAATTGGAGCTCTCCAAGTCCTTTCTCCCCTTCCAGTTACTTCAAACAATCAGTCTGGCTCTTGCCAACAGGTACAGAATACAACTTAGGAAGTAATTCTGTCTCTACTGCCTCTGAAATATGCTTTGGGTAAAGTCTGTTTTAGCCAAAGGGAAGTGTTTCATCTTGCTCCTGAATTAGGCTGGTGCAACTGCTTGGTTTATATGCTCTGCATAATTATATAATACTGGATGTGTTCACTGTTTCCTTCTTTAATCTCTGTTCCTGACCACAGTCTTTCAGGAGAGAGGTTATGTGGGGGGGAAAAGTAGGGATTACTAAAAGGAACTATATTATATATTGAGGTTGACTTGAACTCCCTGACCCCCGAAGTTGGAAGAGTTTCAGAGTTAGGCAAAATGGATTTGTTCAGCCCTAATTACTGTTATTTTAGTTCCTAATATTAATGTTCCTACAGCACTTGGATACTGTTGTGTGCTACATACCATAGATAAGTTGTTATTATTACTACCTTCTAGGTCCATCTTGGCAGTGGAATTTGGGTAGATGAGGAGAAATGGCACCAGCTGCAAGTAACACAAGGAGATTCAAAGTATACAAAAAATCTAGCGGTTATGATTTGGGGAACAGATGTTCTCAAGAACAGAAGTGTCACAGGAGTTGCAACCAAAAAAAAGAAAGATGCCGTTCCCAAGCCACCTCTCTCACCTCACAAATTAAGCATTGTCAGAGGTAGGTTATTTGAAAACTTTTGCTTCCTGCTTTGGAGTTTAACCATTAATCACCGAGTTGAAAGATGCTTCTTTTCAGCTCATTTAAAATTAACTGATTAAAAACTGTAATTCAGATTGCTATTGCATTGTGAAGTGCATACGTACCCAGGAACAGTAAAACACATTGCAATAGCTGTGCACAGTGCAGGCCTCCACAGCTGAAGAGTTGTACATTGACTTCAGTAAGGTTTGAACATCATCACTTTAGACCACTTGCAGGGCAGGACTCTGAGCCTGGAGAACAACATGTTGTTCTAGAATTCATTTGTAACATGCTGATTTTTTTAAAGTGCATATATTCCTTTAAACAAGACTGAGAGTAGCTTTACGACATTCTTTTATCCAGACATAACCAGCTCTGGCATGAGGCACAGAAACCATTATAGCTGTGACTATAAAAATACGCATACCTTCAAAGGCAAGAAAGAATAGTTCTACCCTTTTAAGTGAAGAAATGGAAATAGTAAAAATTAATTGTTGCACTTGAATTGGAATTTGGACAGGAAGTGTAAATCACTGACCTCATCTGGTAGGGAAAATTGCAATGACACTTTCAGTAACTGCAAGCCTGAGTCCATGTGTGTAGTACTTTGAGAGAGAGGAGGCTTTCTCCTTTATTTGAACTGAATGGTGAATTTCAGTCCCTTTGTATCATCATGCCTGTGTTGCATCATTTCTGTCTCTCTTGGTATTTCAGGCTTCTTTTTAAGTCAGAACTGAGTTGTTTCCTCATGGAATGCATACTGAAATTGGATTTTTAGGTTGTGTGTCCATACTAAATTGCAGTAGGGCTGAAAGAAACCTCCCCATTGGTAGAGATTCATTATTCTGCATTTCCTGTTCTTAGTTGCTATGTGCTCTTAACTGTGAACTCATTAATAGGTGGTGTAATTGGCTATGAAAGTACCATGTTTTGGAGTAAGAAATACGGTTCCTCTCTGAGTGTGTGCGTGTGTCTGTGTCTGTGTTGTGTGGGGAGAAATTGGAAACTTATCTCCATACTGTCATCTTTCTTAGTTTATAAGAAATGAGGAAAGGACGTGGGGTTTTTTTTCACCAAGCTGCTTCAGGATTATATGTGGAAGTGGAAGCTGTTCCATGCTGATTTTCTAGTTCTGTCTGGGGTCTTTAGGTACAATCCTTACACATGTAGCTGAGCAGTGACGTACTGGCCACATAAGGAATCCACTCTGTGGCAGTGGCTCTCCCAAAGGGGAAGCAGAATTGGTTGCCCTGGTGTGCGTTTACAAGCACGCAGCACAAGGGGGTTATTTTCCACTGGCCCATTGCAATGTGGTTTCCAGTTTCCCTGCTGGAGGATTTTGCTCCTCAGTGCTGCTGGTAAGGTTGTTTCTGTGAGAATTTCCTCTTCTACTGTTGTCAGGGATACTCTAATGGCTCAAGCCATTTAAATGACAGATTTCTTCTAACTCCCCTTGTTTTGGCTACAGTGAGTTTGGGAGTCTGCTCCAACAGGTACATGATGAGAGGCAGATGGGGCCCTTCCCTTTCTTCTCTTCCATACCTTTACACTCACCAGCAATTCAGCTCTTCCCTATTTCCTCGTTTTTCTGTTTTCTGTCATACTTCTGCTTCAAGCCTCAACCCTCATTTGAATTCTACTGTTACATGCCCTGGTTTTCTATGTTCCTCTTTTTAGTGTTTCTTTCACCTTGTCTCTGATTTCCCTTTTGTTAAGACTCCAGCCTGTACAATCTCTTCTTGAACCAGTTAATCTGCATGGCCAATGTTGGAGGTGTCAGGCTGCCTGTATCAGTGGGACTGGGTAGTTCATAACCATGATTTTCCATGTTGTCGTGTCCTTTGCGTCAGTGTTAGCAGGTTCTTGCCCCACCATGGAGAAGAAAGCAAAACAAAACAAACTAATGACCAGCAAGGGGACAAATAGTTGAGATTTGAGGGAGTTTTCCGTAGCCAGTGATTTGGATCAGGCATCACAAAAAGTAGTGAAGCTCCTGGTTAGCCTTTGAGGTCTACTTGAATCTCTGGTATTCAGCAGTATGAAGGGGTGTCTCTGTGCTCCTGTAAAGCCCAAAAACAAGGGAGCAGAACCTCCAAATTACTCTATGAAGCCCTAAGCCAGTATCCTTATGCAAGTACCAAAGTACTATTTCTGCACCCCCTCACAAAATGGAAGAGATGGAGTGGAAAAACTGTGATCAAAGATCTGTCTGATTCACACCAACTTTTAAAATTACAGCTTTTGAATGAGTTCTGTTAAGTGATTCTTTGCTTGGCTTTGTGGTTAAATGAACAACACAGCCTGTCTTTCACTGGGAGTTCACCTTACTGGGTGGATCTGCCTGGGGGTGTTCTGACACTCTTGTAGGGCCAGCTTATGTCCTGCAAACACACTGCCTTTCTTCAGGCTCCCAGTGATGTGCCTCTTCTTAGGTGTTGTATTTCCAATCATAGTTTATGGATGATCAGCATTTCAGCTATCAGGCTGCATGCTGGTTAATTTCATTTATTTTATATTCAGTACGTCTTACAACATAAAATTCACATTGCTTTAGATGTTCTCATCATTCTGTGGACACAGACTAACTTATTTAAAATAGATTTTTGAATGACAACATTAGCTCTTAATGTGTCTGATATCTCTATAGCTTCTTAAAAATCCCCACTGTGTAGTATGTAATAAAGAAATGATAAAAAGTATGATGGATGTGCACTGTTATAAACCTTGTTAATGCAAAATAACCTTTTATAAAACTTCTCAGAGGTTTCTAAATGAACAACAAAACATGCATAGTACTTAATTTTCATAACTTTTTAATATGGTGCATTAGAAATGTTGTAAAGCACATTAATTAAGCAATAATCTCTATGGCTTTCTGTATATGAAGCAATAAACAGCTAATGGAATAGATCACTAGGCAAAGCAGAACAGAATTTGTTTAACCAGTCTGGGAAGCCTACACAACAAAATACATTGGTCTGTTTATAAAAGCCAAAAAAACCCAAACCTGCCTGTCACTAAGAAGTTATGTGTGTTGCACCACTTCAGATTTCAGTAACTTCTGCAGGATTCTGGCACCAAACTTCCAAATCTGAGAAGAAATTCACTGCCTGCATTACTTTTGCAGTTATTGCTATCACTTGCTTTTTGTATTCCAGATAATGTGTATTTCAGAAAGTGTATTGATCAAACATGCAAGGAGATGGCACTTGTCCTGAATATCCACCAGTAAAAGTGAAATAAGCCCAGGGACAGGGCAGCTGATAAAGACATGAACATTAATATACAAGAGATACAAAAAATGAAATAAATGAGTTAAGGTGTTCTCCTGCTGGTTACTGCTTCTCTTCCTGAGCATTGTCATTTCCATACCCTCCTGAAGGGGTGAAGGTGGGAGTGACTCACTGTGGATACAGCTCTGGTGGGACACTTCACCTGGGAAGAGACTTAAATCTGTCGTGGAGATTGAGACAGATGCAGGAGACAGGCAGGCAAGGCTGGCACTGTAAAAGGTTGGGTTTAGCCTTGTTTCTGTATGGAAAGCCTATTAATGTAGTCACAGCATAACTGGAAGTTGGTCATGCCACTGATTCAAGCCTGGTGACAAATCTTGACTTAAACAAGATAGACAGTGAATCAAGGAAAGCTTCTCTTGTCTTGCAACAAATATACACAGTACTTACTCACTGCTGTCTCTTGAGTAGTCAGCACAACTCAGGGCTATTGTGTTTTCTAAAAATATCCTAATGACTCTTTCCTTTTTTTTTCTCCCCAGAATGTTTGTATGATAGAATAGCACAAGAAACTGTGGATGAAACTGAAATTGCACAGAGACTCTCCAAAGTCAACAAGTACATCTGTGAAAAAATCATGGATATCAATAAATCATGTAAAAATGAAGAAAGGAGGGAAATTGCAAAGTACAATTTGCAATAAATTTTGGATTTTTAATAAAGTCTTAGTGTTTTACTTAAGTGTTGGTTTTTGATTTGTGTGGCATTTTTGCTGATGGGAGAAGCTGAATCGAAGCGTTGCTCTCTTCCTATAACTGATTCGTTTTTTTTAGCGGTTCTGTCATGGTGTAAACTGCTTTTAACTAATGTAAGATATATTGTAAGTTCACTCCCAATGAAAACTGAAGTTTCCAAGGTTTCTCCAGCGAGTTGCTGTTTGTTACCTGCGGTTGTACGTTGGTTGTGGTTCTGTGGACACCGACCCGTTTGCCCTGCGTTGAGTTTTGCTGGAGTTAGTGGATCTCAGCTGCAGTAAAACATCTGCTTAGAAGGAAGAACTGTACAAAATTCACTTTGCTATTGAAAAGGATTTTATTGTATTTTACAAAGTGTTTTTTTCCTGAAATGAAGTTTCAGTCGTTTGTTTTTATAAATCTTTGTTTTGATCTCTAACAATATATTTGATCAAAAATACACAAAGAACGTTTCTTTTTCAATTATCTTGTAGGCAGATCACTATTACCATCTCAGTTAAAAAAAAAAAACAAAAACTAAACAATGAACAACAAAGAACCCAAAGGTGTAAGTTGTAAAATCATGATAATTCATTTTAATAAATAAATCTAAAACCAGTTCTTTTACAGGGACCAAGACACTTCAAATTTCTGGTTGTGGTATAAAGCTCCTCAGTGTGTCCATACTGTTGTTCTTGAAATATTACCTTTTTAGTGTATTTGTACTTTCAAACAATTTAAGAATTGCCACACTATGGCAAGAGTATGTACAGTAGAAAATTTAGTACAGTTTTGTTTGGGTCCATAATTTAACAATGGACACTTTTAGCACAAATTTTAATTACAAATAAAAATAATTTTCTACATTGAAGTTAGACTTGCGATGCAAAGTTTTTAGAAATAATTTGTCATCTGAACTATATGTTATTGTCTGTAAGTGAAGCAAAATATTCTCTTTTCATGAAGGATTTAGAGATAACTTGAGGTCTGGATTGATGAATTTTAAGGGTTTGTGATCTCACTTAACCTTCCATTTATTTTGTGCTCACAGCTGTGATTGTCTGCCTTTCAGTCTGCCTGTTCCCGAGCATCAGCATTTGTTTCTTTACCACTGCAATTCTGTTTCCTGTAGGCTTGAAAAACTTCCCATTTCTTATCACCTTCCTGTAGCACTGGTTCACCCTGAGGTGAAGCCTTTTTCAGTGTCCTGTAAATGTGGATAATGTGGAAAGGAACAGGCTGCTGGGGTGGGCTTGCCATGCCTGGAAGTGTTTAAATGATAAAAGATATAGATGTGGCACTTGGGGACATGGGGTAGTGGCGGGATTGGCAGTGCTGGGTGAGTGCCTGGACTTGATGATCTTAAAGATAATTTCCAACCTAAATGATTACATAATTCTTTAATGTTGAGGGCTAGAATGTAAGAGAATAGTGCAGAAGGTAGTCTACACCTGAAGAGTTGCAGCTGTACTCATCACCAAAGATTAAGAACAGCCCTGAGCTTAATAGGCCAGAGCTGTGTCCAATAAGGAGATGAGTGCTACAAAAGAGTGGGTTAGCTGGGTGAGAAGAGAGTTGGAGTTTGTTGGTTGTGCTGTGAAGAGAGATGGAGTTTGTTGGTTGTGCTGTGAGGGGAACTGCAGTTTCTTGGCTGTGCTGTGGAGAAGACAGAGTCAGGGCTGTGAGGAGATGCCCATGAGAAATCACCGAGAAGGTATGGGAGCTTTGAAATAAGATGACAACACTTTAAAGGGCTGGGTGAGTGTTAGAAAAAGAGGAGGGCAGGAGGAGGTGTGCTAGACCTGCCCTGCCTCTCTTGGAAGAGATGAGACAAACAACAGGTTGTTTCTCCCTGTACTTCACCTGTGTGTAATTAATGTCTTAACTCATAACTAAGTGTTTGCTTTATGCTTTCTAAAGTCACTTTTGTGGTTGCCTTGCACCAACCTCATGCTGTGCTGCCAAACAGGAACACCAAATTTTCACCACTGGTGCACCTGCATTCCTGTGCCCTCCCTTAACCCCACAGATGTAACTGAACAGGTGTATCAGATCCCACTGATTTCCAGGGTTTATTTCTCAGCAGCTGCTTCCCATAGGATGGAGCCAGAGCTGTTGTGGTGAGGGGTGGAAAGAGCAGGAGTGTGTTTTTCCAGTGTCTTATGTGTGCCCTGAAGTTTCTTTGAACGGCCTCCCTTGTCTCCTGCTAATATCAAAAGTGTTCTTAGGTAGTGTTTAATGAAGTGCATAAATGTTTATGTCTCCTAATTTGGGATGCTAAATAGCAGATTAGTGTTTAAAATGTCAGTGCATGTATCCTTTTATTAATTAAAAAGAACAAATAGAGATAACATTGAAAAACCATTTAAACAGCAAGTTTCCCCTTTTCAAGCAGACTTGTGAATGTACAAAGTTGGGGGTTTTTAAGTGATACTAAGGCAACCCACTATTTTGGGGAAAATGTCCATAATTTCCTCAGTCTTTTATGGTTTTATTACTAATGTGTTTCCATTGTAACACATTCTTTAATGAGAAGATCAAGCTGTACTTCTTAGAAGATAAGCCTATTTTATGAAAACTGGAAAAAGCAGCTTAGAATTTAATTAGAGTTAGGACTCCAGCCTGGCCCCAAAAATCAGAGGTGTTAATTCCTTCTGCAAAACCAGCATCACTTTTCTAGGGCTTCTTCCTTGACATACTCGTCCCATCAGATGCTAATACTGCATTTTGCTGAAGAATTGAAATGTTCTCCTTGGGCACAGTATCTATGGAAGGCTTCATTAAGTTTTTCCTGGAGATTTCATCAACCCAGGTTAGTTTTCATTTGAGTTCAACAAGGGTGTTTGGGTGGCACAAAAAAGTTCAGTTCCCTTTGAAACTTAGTGTCAATGGGAGCTAAGAAATGTGTCCATTGGACTGGGCAAGTGGTGTTTAATGCGCCACTCGAAACTTTGTTGAGTCATGTTAAAGAAGTAGCATATATTAAAGGTAGAACATTGTATTTCAACTTGAACTAAATCTTTGGATACTGGAAATAAGTTTTTTGCTAATAATAAGCCATTTCTGCACACTGTGTTGTATGGCAGCATGCTGGGGGCTCTGCAGGGAGTAATGGGTGTGTGAATAACATTTTATACTTGTATTTGGTCATTACTCATGTCTTCTCCCTCCCCATGAGCCAGTATCAAGGTTGTCCAATTGTTTCCCAGTGTGTCTGTTTGAAGTAGGGAAATAGGCTGCGGTTCTGTGTTCCAGCAATACCCAAGAAAAATAGGAACTTTAATGGGGTGTGCTTTTCTGCATTGCAAAACCGATGTATAAATTAACTGTGAGTTTCATTTCATTTTCCTGCACTGCGTTTATGGCCAGGGCTGTTCTTGTTGGTACATTAATTTTTCCATAATTGTGCCTGCCTGTACATAGTTTGCTTTGTTCATTTTGTGTCTGCTGTGAATCTACCATAGGAAACTTTATAGAAAATAGTCCCTACTAACTTTTTCCTCTAGGGTAACTTCTTACCTGTACATCATGAGAAACAGGAGAGAGGTTTGACAGAAAATGAAGTAGGTTTTATTACACCCTGTAATACCCCTCGTTCGTCATTCTAAGATTTGTGCCAGGCCATTACCTCATACTGTAAACCTGAATTTGTAAGGATCAGAAAGACATGGATTTAAGAGGAAGTGACAGTTTACTTTTTTTTAATCAAAGCAGGAAGGAGGTATTGCTGTTATATGAATAATCTGATCTTCTGTTATCACGCATTGCTGCAGTAATTTGTGATATTCACAATCTGATCCATATTAAAGTGCCTCTGGCACACTTGCAAGGAAGCAAGATTAGAGTTAACAAAAAGGGCTTTATTTTCTATTAGTGATTTTATAAGGGATATGAGCTGTTGTGTTAAAGGAAAGAATCCTACCAGGGACTTTAATACCTGAGTCAGGAAATCTAGCCACTCAATTAAAAAAAGAAAACTAGTATTTATTAGAGAGGGGAAAAATGTGTTTGTTTCTGCTGTTCCAGAACAGGTTTGGATTTACTGGTGCTTTATAGAGATGGGAGGGTTTTTTAAAAAAATAGTAAAATACTTATGTCAAAGTTGAACTCTTAAGTAGGAATTCAAGGTTGCATTGGTTAGCTGTTGTTGGCTGTCAAAAGCAGGTGCATTCTCCCTGTGGGAGGTCACTTCTTTGCACCTTACCTTTGATGTTGTATCTGAGAGATTACTGTGATGGCTGCTTTGTTGTCTTAAGCAGAGATTATTGTCCTCTTGGAGGTTTTAAGTAGCAATAAATTGAACTTTTGGGATTTACTGAAATTGTAAAGATAATTCTACTTCACACTTCCAGAATCTATAGACTTTTAAAAATTAAGGCTAAGTGCAGGTTATTGTTAAAATGATACAATCTTGATGCAGAAGCTCAGAGAATTGTGTGAATTGGGAGCATTGTGTATTAGCTGTAGTTTCACTGTGTATGAGCTGTGTTCATACCTCTTGAGAACACCAAATCTGGCTGGTTTCAAAAAGGGAAAGCAAGGTTGTGTCACATGGAGCTGCACTGAGGATTATTTCAATATTTCATCTTTCTGACATGAGAATTCTCTTCTGAAAGAGACAAAGACACAACTTGTGCCTCCTCAGAATGAGGTGGTTGCTTTCTCCATACTCTTGAAAATATTTGTCATTCTGTGTGTGCCTTTAGTCTCGGATTGATGAAGTCATAACATCAATTGCTCAGACTTTATTGGTGTCATTTTTTTAATCATAACAGTGTGGAACTCTGAAGTGATTCATACAACACCGAGGCAATAAAAGCATTATGAAGTGCAATCATTGCACATTTCATGCTCAATAGCTAATTTTTAATTTCACCATCTTGGATATTTTTTCATCCCCTCAGGGTTCCTAAATAGGGAAAGAGAATCATTTGGACTTGGACAACAGGAGCAGTGACTCAAGAAGGAATTAATTTATGTGGTTGTTCATCTGTTTTACTTTTGCAA